CTCTCCGTACTGTCCGATCAAATATTTGACCGTCGACGAGTCTTGTGAGGGTCGAGGAGTTGGACGAGCATTTCGGAAACCGAATACAACAAACTCGCTGAGGATTTACAATGACGTATGTTCCACTCGTTTATCTACCCGTAAGCGTAGTCGTTTGCCGTCATGTACCGATCAATATCCCCTGGTAAAACGTTTAATATTAAACGTGGTTAACGGAGACACTGAGGACTGCAAGGACGACTACAAGGACTATACGGACCACGATATTGTACTAACGACTTTGGATGTTGTTGAGCACGAGCAATTCTTCATTTTATTTAACGATGACGAAAAAGATTGCCAACTTAACAAAGCATCCTGCTTTTGCATTTTGGTCTACGTAAATGCCAAGTTCCATAGAGATTCATCGGAATTAATAGAATTATCCGTGATGCAAATTTTTTTGTATTACACAGAATAGTCTAATATTTTCTTCCTACAACTTTTTTTTGTTTTTGTTTTTTACTACGAAGAAATATGTTATTAAAAAAACCTTTTTTATTTATTTATATTCTGAAATAAATTTGAATCTATTCAATATATCTAAACATTATTTATATTTTATCGATAAAGTAGACCGCGAGCTGGACTTTCGGTTCGATCTAAAAACATTTTTGACCGTTTATGGACCGGTCAGTAAGGTTCGGTCTGTATTAGCCCAGACCGTACCATATGATGCGTTTAGTATTACACTGGACCGGTACAGTATTTAGATTTTAAGTAACATGATTGGGACCGGACTGAGACCGGGACGGACTGATTTTCATTTTATTTTATTTTTTAAACCGGACCGGACTGAAAATAATGCATTTGATCTGAGGACTAGACCGATTTACTCATAAAAATTATTGAACCTGATCAAATCGATGATTCAACAGTTCTGTAAAAAGCTATTTTAAGCTAAATGTGGTTCGTAGAATTTAGAGTATGTATTTAGTGGTCCTTGAGGTCCAAAAGGTTGGCGACCACTGTAATAGAGTATTATAATAATAGAGACCATTTAGTATTTATGATATTTTAATACTGTCGTTTTAATATCTGCTCATCCATTTTTTAACGTACTGTATTATATACAATATAACCAAAAGTTCTGTGGGAATGTATCAATCTTAGTGTCATCTTAGAAAATTATTATTGGTATTTAATTTCAGTTTATTACCATTATAAATAACAAAATTATAATAAAATTTTTTTATGTAATTTAGTTTTTTGATTATCGTTATCTTGATCATAATATGTTTTAAACTTTAAAGCAGTTTGAAAAAATAAATATTGAAATTGAGTGAAATCGACCAATTTAAATCATATTAAGTTTTTGATTTTGTAATAATAAGTTATATTATCAACCCATGAATCGCCTAAATAAACGGTTTTAAAAATTTGATTAAAAAATTGAAAAATATGATTTTTAAAAACCGGTTTTAATTGGTAATCGATTCCTAATAAACCTTATCATCGGCTTTTAAACAATTAATAGTTATTATAGTTTTTAAAATATCCTTAAAGAAATGGTTACCGGTTACCATAATATCAAAATTAAACGATAATCGTTTACCGGTTTTAAAAAATCTTCGGCTCCTACCGGGACCGATTACCATTTTTATTTTACACTTGAAGTTGAACATTATCTATTTGATTTATTTGATACAGTTTTTGATCATTTAAATTCTAGTATACCAAACAAAAAATTAGATTAAGGCTTCAAATTCGTGTCACTTTTAACCAACTTGTCAGTCGTCGATTAATTCATATAACTGATCTTGATGTATATCTTAGTTTATAATAGAAATCTGTTTTTATTGTAATTATTTAAATTTAATATAGTTATATAATATAGATATTATATCAGTCAGACTAAACCTATAGCCAATCGAGTGTTTTTATGTGACCCAAATAAAACTCATTAAATCAATACAAACAAATAAAAATTTTGAAAATAATAAGTATTATTAACAATATAATAATTGTCTAAAATCACTTATTGCATAATTTGTTTGGTATAGTTAAAAAAATGTCTCAATATGATAAATCAAACTAATATAATCTAATAAATCATAAAATGTATTATTTTACATGTATTTTTAATTTTAATTTTTTTGAAATTATCCCTGGCCTTTCCCCTCACCGGTTTAGTGTGTAACAATGTAACCAAATTATAAGTGATATTTAATATAATTTGATGAAAATTCAGTAAATAAATATTTTTTTGATTCCATGTCATTTTCCATGCGAATATGCAATTGGTATACAAAAAACAGATTACAGATCACGGTTACAGATTAATATCTGTAATTTAATATTATATTGATGTAAAATGTAAACAACAAATTAGTCTCACGATAACATAGATTATACAAGTGATATTATGTTTGTGTTTATCAATTGTTTGTAGCGATTTGTATTATGTATAGACAAGTTACGACTGACTAGTATTTTTATTTTTGATCAAAATAAAACTAAGTAATTCAAGCATACTATATTTTTTTTTCGAAAATTAAAATATTAATATTATAACTTCATATTTTTCATAATTTGATGTCATTCATAGAATTGTCTTAACGACTTAATGTTATTTGCCGTCCATAAAAAAATCCCAAAGTTCTTAATATGATGGCTCAAAAATCAAGAAAACTCGATATTATTTTGTAAATTTAATGTTTTAATTAATAGTATAATATTTTTAATTTTCATTTAATGTATATTGTTTTTATATAAAAAAGGGTGTGGAGGACTTGGCTTCCAGGCTCACATTTTAATAAATGTTCATATCCCCCCCCCAATAATAAATCCTAAAAACGCCTATGGTCCTTAGCCCCAATTCCTGTTGTTGCCGCCTATATAAACATAGTAAATATATTATATTTATGGTTTATAATGTCCTGCATTTAAAAAAGAAGTCTGAAATCCATAGCGTAGGCTTCACATGCCTTGCTTATATATATATATATATATGTGTGTGTGTATGTAAATGTAAATATATTTATTTAATTAAATTATACCCATTATTCATCATAGAAATTATTTCATTTTATTGTTATTTTGGTAGTTCTTTGATTATGTTATTATAATAAAAATATCGTAAACCAATTTCAATTTAAAAAGTTTTAATAATTTATAATATATACAAATATATTTCAGTGAACAAATTTTCGACCACCCTAAAAATTTGGTGTCTCCAAAATTTTGACACCCGAGATGGTTTCGACCAGTGACGGATCCACATGGGCAGATTGAGTGTTAATCTCCCGAAATCATGAAAAATGTATATTAAAAATCAATAATTTTATGAATTCAGAAGATTTTTTTTTTTTTAATTATGAGGGAAAGTATATAATTTTTATTTTTGTTCATACAAGGAAATAGTAGTCTTAGATTTAAATTAATGTATTATATTACTTACTATTATCTTAAATCATTATCAAGCACTGACTGTAATGCTATAAAAAATATCCCAAGGGAAAACATTTTTCAAATTTTTAACAGTTTTAAAATAATGTATTATCTGATAGAAATTTCAACTTCTGCAAACGTACTATTGTTATGAATATCGTCACAATGAAAATTATCGTAATAAATGTAACGACGAACGTACTACAAGAAGAACTACAAAACTACAGAATTTGGAAAATTTTACATACCAGTGCCGTAAAACACGCAACATGTATAATACAACTCAAAGCATTTATCACAGTGACAGTTATGGCACCATCCGAATATTTTAATAAAGGATCAAACATTTCGGGAAAATAATTTTAATGTCCTAACTTAGCAATTGTTTTGTTTTCAGTTAATTTTAAATATTTAATTATTTAGCTCCATTATATTCATGTATTTCTAGCATATACTTATATGAAACTCTACCTAAACTTTGAGTATTATTAAAGTTTATACAAATATTTTACGAAAAATTATAATACTCGTAGATATGTTGTAAAATCATTAAAAAAATGTATGTATAATAATAGCAATTTTTTAGGTGATCAGATTCATTGATGATGAATAATTTCTGATTAATCGTATAATTAAGTAGATGTACATTTCATTTTTTACATAGATGTGAATTGTAGATATTTAAAATGAGTTATATCGATATAAACGATTGATATTTAATTTTCAATGTATCTATTCTAATATTCTAATAGTATTTACAATTTATACATATATTATCTTGATATTTTTCAGTTTATTAACAATACAATTTGTTTTTAAAAATAATTACTTATAATTCTACTTATATTATTTAGTCACTTCAGATAGTGTAAATCATAATAATACTATGCGATAAAATAATAAAGTACCTATATAGATATTATATAAATTAGTAATTTTATAAATTTGATGACTAATCATTTTATACCAAAGTTAAACTACATTAAGCATTAAAAAATATACATAATATAATATAATATATAATATATATGTTACAGTTAAAACCCGAAATCCGTCAAAACTAGTTTTAACTAGTTTCCACAAATCCCTTTAGTTAATTCTGGTTTTAACTAGTTTAAATTAGAATTAACCGCAGGTGTAAATGAGTCAGTAAAAACTAGTTTTAACTAAAATGCATGTATTCGAACGTAGGTTACGTGTTGTCCGGTCACGTTATCGCGGACGAGAATAAGCTGCCTGCGGTCGTTGCAATAACGACCGCGACAAATATTGCTCGATAATTCGACCGGCCGATTATCAAATCAATTAAGATAACTTTAACTAGTCTTCCATCACGCAGATATGATAACTTTGACATATTATACCTACAATAATATGTTATTGATATAGATGTCAGCGTATATTGTCGGTGATGCCGTGTTTCGTCAGTACGATTGTGTTCGTTGTAGTCGTTGTACCTATGTGTTTTTGTTGCGAATTTGTTCGTTTTTTATTCTAAGTTCTTTTTTGCGCTCTCACTGACGTTCACCAGTATTGAACATCATCGTCGGGTCACTGTATACTTTCGTATCATGTCAGAAACTGAGACAGAAATTAGTACCCAAGAACGATTCTTAAAGAAGCTTATGGAATTGGCGAAAGGAAAGGACAATCATTATAATATCATTACAAAAGATGCATATAATTTACTTCTAAAAGAGGTCGAGGATGCGATATTAGCAACTAAAAAAACATCTATTCAGTATAGATGGATGAAACGGTTTAATGTTATAGAATTTGGCGGTACAAAAAAGCTGATAACCCCTCGGAGATCCAGTTAAATTTTATTTGCTGGTGGAAGACATTTTTAATGTCATTGAATTGTCACACGTCGCTGTAGGACATGGAGGAAGAGATCATCTGAAGGTTGAAACTTCAAGAAAGTACGCCAACATCACTACTGACATGATAAATATTTTTTTGTTCCTCTGTGAAACGTGCCAAAAAAAGAAAAAGCTAGGAAAGAAAGGACTCGTTTCGAAAACAACTTTGCACACTGAATTTAATAGTAGATGTCAAATAGATTTAATAGATATGCAGTCGCAACCCGATGCACAGTTTAGGTTTATACTTAACTATCAGGATCATCTGACAAAATTCGTTCTGCTCCGCCCCTTGCAAACCAAGCGTGCAGAAGAAGTTGCAAGCCATGTATTAGATATTTTTTTTAATCTTTGGTGCTCCGGTTCTTCTGCATTCAGATAATGGAAAAGAATTTGTTAACAATGTGATTTTAGAGCTGACAGCGCTATGGCCAGAGTTAAAAATTGTGCACGGAAAGCCTAGGCATTCACAAAGCCAAGGCTCCATAGAGCGTGCTAACCAAGACATAAAGCGAATGCTCGCTTCCTGGATGACAGACAATAAATCAACTAATTGGTCTATCGGATTAAAGTTCGTCCAATTTATGAAAAATAGAGCACACCACGCCGGGATAAATATGACGCCTTATAAAGCAATGTTTGGGGTTGATCCAAGAGTGGGACTTGTAACCTCTAACCTGTCCAATGAATTGATTACTACTATAAACGTCGAGGATGAATTTAAACGTCTCATAAGTACTGAAACTACAAGTGAAAATATGATTAGACAAAAAGCTGCAGGTAAAAATTTTTATTTTTATTTTTTAAATTATAGTTATTAAGTTTAGGTAATATTCATGTTTATTTCACAGTAAATTTTTTTATTGCTGTTAAAATAAATGTTTTATTTACGTATTTTATAATATAAATACTGCCTATATTTTTCGAAAACTTTCAAATTATTTTTTAGTACAAAAATTATAAAAATTTTAACTTTTATAGTTAAGGATTGAAAACTTAAAACAAAGATTCTTATTAATAGTTCATACTGTAACCAACAAATCCAATAAATACATAAACACGGTATATTTCTTTGATAAGTTTCAGATACCATAGATGCAATTAGAAAAAAAGCTCATGCAAATTTGAAAAAACAGGCAACTCGAATGATGACTCGAACCGAAAACAAATTTCCTGTGGTTGAAGTTGGTGTCAACGTAGTAATCCGCATTCCAGATGTTGACAAAGGCAAAACCGATCATCCAAATCTTATCGGAATAGTGTTGGAAAAAACAGAGTACGATCTATATAGAATCGGATGTAAGGATGGAATTCTAGAAAAACTTTATTGTAGGTGCGTCCATTATCAACTTTTTATTTAATAAATAAAATAAAATTAGATAATAATGAGTAATCAGTAAAAATTGTTTCAGGTCTGAATTTATAACATGTAAAGAAAAATTCATCACATATAATCAAGTTCCAAAAAATCATATTTCCCTCCGTGCAGCTGCAACAAAAGCATCAACGGGGTCAGGGAAAGGATTTGTAAAATGCACATGTAAAACATCCTGCAGAACAAATCGTTGTTTATGTAAAAAAAATAAAATTCTATGTAACTCTAAATGCCACGATAGTTTGTCATGTCAAAATAAATAATACAATAAATGTTTATATTTAATATGTACTTATATTTCTACATTTCCCTAGTTAAAACTAGTTTTACCTATCAATAAAACAATATGAATTTTCACTAGATAATTCTAGTTTTCACTACTATATTTTAGACACAACTAATTGTAACTAAATAATAATAAGTTTAAACTAGTTTTGACGATGATGGTCTTTGTAAATTCTAGTTTTAACTAGTTAAAACCAGAATTGACTAAAGGGATTTGTGGAAACTAGTTAAAACTAGTTAAAACTAGTTTTGACGGATTTCGGGTTTTAACTGTAACATATATAACATTATTATGAATACACTGATAATATCCGAATATAGGTACAACAATTGTTTTATTATTTCTACCTTCAGTCATGAATATAACTTTGTAATAAGTGCTGTATAATATTATTGACGCTGTGATAACTATAATAACACGATTCATCATGTGTAGTACTTTAATATTTTATTGGCTATTATTAGTAACCACTATCACCGCAATGTTCAACAGAAATAATGAATTAAATGTTCTTTCAGTCGAAAATTTCCATCATATTAAAACAGGAACTAAAACGATCTTGTTGTGAGCGTGATATAAAATCTAAAGTTCGTTAAATTGAAAACAACCGAGAGGTAATTATTTTTTATTATATATAAAAATGAAATGGAACACACAGTAGGTAAGATGTTAAATGTTTAAAATTTTAAACTGATACAAACTAACTCTTTGAATAAACTTTATTTTTCAACATTAGATATTTAAATATTGTACAAAATAAATTGAAAAAAGTTGATTATTTTTTATTGTATAAAGTTTAAATTTCAATATATTGAAATCATACTAAATTAAAAAGATCTATGCATTTTTTATATAAGTTATTGAAATAATTACACAGTTATTTATATTTTTAATTATATTAAAACAAACTTTTTTTTCTTCGCTCAGAAACTTCAAAATAATTTCGTATAATTTATATCTATAATTTAAACTTACTATTATTTTCACCTACTACAAACATATGAATAATTATTTTACGTTGTTTTAGATTCCATTGGATATTATAATGAAATTAAATCAGGTCACAAGTGTTCCAGAACTGTTTTTGAAGTTTATGCCACACGTCAATGTGTCCGACGTTTTAAAATATGAAATAGCAAATAATGAACAAAGTAAGAAATTTGATACAATATGTTCCTTAGACACTGTGCCGACTCGATGGATTTTAGGGTTCGGTGCAGAATTTTAATCTAACCTAAGTGTTACTAGTGATTTATAGAATGCAATTCGCTGAATATATTTGGGGTCCGGTGCGGCTCCATTGCTCATCAAACCCATCCACCATAGGGCCAATACTGCCTAGACAAATAATATTACCTGTATATTATTTAAAAAGGTGGTGTTAATGAAATAAACCATAATAAGTTATAATGATTTTTAATTCTTTCGTGCATCATTGATAATCTCTGACCAAAGGTTTTTTTTGAGCGGAACACTTTTTGGTCAAAATGAACATTTCCTATTTCGGCTAGATCACTTTTCGGCAAGTCTGGAATGTTCGTTTTCAGTCAGAATACTATTGTGGTCACCAATTTAAAATATTCTAAGTATTATTTTTCTGTTAAACTACCGATTTATATAATAATCATATATTATTATTAATTTAAAATTTACAATTTATCTAAAAACCCTTTATTAATTTAAGTTATATTTTATTACCAATTTATACAAAAAAAATAAAATAAAATAAAATAAAATAAAATTATAAAAGCATTTCATTTTTTTAATAATTGCAACACGCGCCACACTTGAATTTCATTCTAGTAATATCTCCTCTATATTAAGAATAACAACTTATTATATTGTGGAGAATCAACAATACGTTGACCTTCGATAAATATAATAACTACAAACTAGGTATTTATAATTTCTTAAATTAATAATATTATATGATTATAATATAAATAAATAGGTAATTTAACAATATTTTAAATTGGTGACAAAAATAATGTACTGACCAATAAGAGAAAGATTCATATTGGCCGAAAACGGTTCAGTATTTTTTTTTTCATTTTTATTTTTAGCCAAAATGAATTTCACCATAATAAGCATTAAATGATTTATGCAGGTTATAATGATATAAGTCAAAAAATAAAACAAATAAAAATAACTATGGCAGAAAATGAATCATTGAACACGACCCCATATCTTTTTTTTTATCACTTCTTATGTACCTATTTACCCTCAGATGAAATACTTGTTCCAAAACCTGCATACTACTGAAAACCAAACGGTTAGCTTAAGGGATGATGATAATCCAAATCTATATTATTCGCCACCTTGTACACGAGTTAGACGATGTGGTGGTTGTTGTGGTAACAATTTAGTTTCCTGTCAGCCAACCGAAGTAGAAATACTCAAATTCGAAGTAAATTAAAATAAACCAAAGGTTTAAACTTTATATTATATTTTTTTCTAATTTTTATTTGAAATAATATATGAACTCTGGGTTTATCACCCATGGGTTACTATTCTTCAATATAATGAAACATTAACTTTTAAAGAAAAAAAAATTATCAGTGTAGAGCAGCATGTGAAGTGTAAATGTGATTGTACAAGAGTGATGGTTTACACTAATTTAATCCTCTCTTTTTGTATAGGATTGTTAAGACTCACAAGTTTATGATGCCAGAGAATGTCGATGTCTTTGTAATAATCTAGAAAACCAAAACAAATGTGACGAAGAATCAGATACAAAAATGTGGAACTCTGAAATTTGTTCATGTCAGTGTATTGAAGAGAAGGAATGCACAACAGGATCCAAATTCAATTACAATACATGCAAGCAGTGAGTAATATTAAAAATATTGAACGAATTTTAAAGAATCATTTTTAAGAAGTCAAACACTAAGTATTCAATTTATTTAATGAATAAATTCCTTTATTTAGTTTATACTTAAAAAATTATATCAAATTATTAATTTTAATTATTCAAGATTATGTTTTGTCATTAATTCAATAATCATTGCAAATATTAATTCTTAATTACATACTAGAAATATATATTAGAAATAATATTATATAATATGATAGTTATATTATTGTATTTACTATTAATTTTCTATTATATTTTTTATATTCCACAGATGTAATTCAATAGTTGAATGAAGTTGACTGAGGATTATTGAACTCTATAAAGAAAAAAACATTAAAACGTTAAGTATTTATTTCGAAATTCAAAATCAAATATAATTGAAGTGAATAATAAAATATAACAATATTGATAAACATATGATCTTTTTTATTTATAAAAAAAAAAAAATATTAGAATATCTGGATAAATGTACAGATTATACTATATAACAAGCAATATGTTAAAGGATTTTCCATCAATACAAATTATTACTAAATTTGGAACATTCTAAACATAAATAAACCTAATTAGAAATTACAATTACATGTGAGGTAGACTAGACCAACTATTTTACTCTCATGATCCCAGATAGCAAAAGAATATTCTTATAATGTTATAAGAATGTTAATAACAAAACAGTAACATTTAGTAAAATATTTCATTAATGTTATGATAATATTTGTAGACGTTACTGTAACATTACTACAAAATTATTTGGCTGCTAATTTCATGTTATCCTAACGACATAATATCAATATTATCATAATGTTGATCACATAATATTCAGTTATATTATTTTTAAATATTTGACAAACATTTTAAACAAATAATATTGTAATATTATAATTAAAATATTATAACCATAAAAGAAAATTTTTTTTTAAATATTTCTTTATTAGCATTGGTTTTGAAAATATGTGCGATTGTAGATAAACAAACAAATTTAACTAAAATGCAAATTTATTTACTCTCAAATAGCACATAAATATATGTATATTACATATAAATGTATAGGTTTAATACATTGGAATATCAATATTTTAATATATGTTTATACAATTTTAATATTATGATTCTACATTCAAAATTAAAATAAAAACATAACGAACTGTGGAGTATATCATATAATATTAACTATATTATATATTATAAAAAGTAAATAAAAAATTGTCAATTTAAAAGATACAATACTAAGATTTAAAAAAA